ATTTAGTCTGGCTAATAGGAAGGAAAGTGAGATGGCAGATAACTTCATTAAGCATGTTGAAGTACTAAGCCACAGTTACTGCAAAGCAAGTAACAGTTCCAAAAATCAGTGTGGATCTTGTATGCATTCAGCAGAACTGTAAGAATGAGCCTTATTCTTTTCAGTCATATTTATATATTAGTCTCAGAATGTAGGCATCCAAACAAGGTACTGAATACATAATACTTCAATACAGTGAAAAGACACATTCGCAAAACACTGAAGATTCTGCTCAGCATATTCTCCACCTGATGGGGCTGAACAGTGCACATATCAAGCACTGACAYTCTGATGAAAGGTTTTTATAGCCCTGCGAGGGTTACAGTTAAAATTTTAAGAACAGCCTGAAAGAAGATAATGTAAATGCTAAACTGTTAAAAAGTGGCAGGGATTATGTAATCTCTAAAACTAGACTACAAAAATACCTTGTTCACTTAAACTTCAACTACTTTGGCATGACTCTGCATGGTCTTGAGAACTCAGAAGTCTTCACAAAATTATCTCATCATAGAAACCCACACAATATTATCACCAGAAACACAGAGATAAGGTTATGAAGTTTGGAGAGAAAACTTGGAGATTCTGTGATGGACTAGATAGGACATTATAAAACTGTAAGGCAACAGAAGAGATTTAAGAATTTCCTACAAGCCATTTTATATCTGCGACTGAGATGTAGGCATCAGTGTCACATAAAATGTTAAGCTTTATTTGGCACAAAATCATAAAAACTGCAGAACATACCTAGCACCAGAAATCAAATCAGACCAAAATGAGACTGCAAAAACATACCTAGGATTATTTCTTACTTGGCAGAGACTGTTGATCAGGTAGTAGATATTCTGTTTTTCTACTCTAGGACTTCCTCAGCTAATGAAAAAGATTTTTCCACAATGCTTAAGCAACAAGAAATGTTGTCCAGAATGAAAAAAAAAAGGACCCAGGAAAAAAAAARCAAACAAAAAAAAATTGCATTTTCAAGAGGCATTGGGTCACTGTGAGACTGACATCTGCAGCTAGCCAGAACACGTAGAGAGCTGGGGGTGAACAAAGCATATTCCATCTGGTTTCAGATACCCATAGCAATTACCCTACTCAGTATAAAGGTGAGATTTTGCAATGCCAGAGGATTGTTTTCTGTGGAACAGTTTGACTCTTGCTTCCATATAYTAAAAATTCACACACTTTGC